TTGTTTTTTTTTATTTGTTATTCAAACTTAGACATTAAAAAAAATTATTGGATTTATTCATATTGTACCGTTATAATTAATTTATTTTCGATGAAACAAAATTGAAGTATGCATGCCGTAAAACGTTGGCGGACAACAGACCAAGAGTACGTGGCAGATTTGCACGAAACGACGAAGTTTTTGAGAACGCCAACATTACTTCTTCCTTCACTAGACAAGAAGACGACGACCTTTGGGTAATTAATTTTATTATTCACCAAATTACAAAAATTCCATTTTTCAAAGAATATCTAAATATTTTTTTTATTAATTTTAAAAACAAGAAAAAGAAAGTATTTTTTATTTTATTTTTATATATTTGTGGCAGAATTTGGATGGGATGCATGAGGAAGAAGAAGCTTTTGTGAGCAGCTTTGTGGAATGTCAGTCTCAGCCTCAATTGCAAATGCAATACACAACAACAACAATCTCATTTTGGTGAAAGCATCTGTCTGAAAAAGAAGAGCTGAATATTATTAGTTTTTTCCTGATTTTATAAAAAATTAATATGAAAAATTGTGAAGAATCGAATCGAGTCTTATATTGGATATTTATTTTTGATTCTCACATACATAACTATACGATATGTGACTCGATTATAGTACTGCATCAGAATAAACAATTTAGGTAAAAAAATTTATGGATATTATTTTCTATGAGAATAGTATAATGATTTAATAAGTCACTTAGTGATAGTGTCATTCATAGTGGTATTGTAGCTTTTTCAGTCTTCCACTTTAAAAGAAAAAAAAATATTTAGAAACTGTTTCTCAGTTGCCTGTACATGTGAATATGAAGATAAATAAACCGTGCAATAAAATTGTTATCACCGTTGGAGAAATCTTTGACCCATTAAAGGAAGAAGATTCTTCGGTCTAATAATGTCAAATTTATAAGAAGTTGGATTAGTGGACTACTTAAACATTTATATGATCTTAATTATATATATCATGGGACGTTTAATATTACAATAATGCGAATCATTGACAGTAGTCAAGATCCTCGATATCTATGAATTTATAACTTAGAGAATCACATTTTCGGTTTAGCATAATATGTACAATCACTTTTTCGTAGTATATCAATTTGCTTAAGTCCAATGACCCGTTGATTAAAATGACATCAATAGAACTTTATATATAGTGCATATCTAATTTTTTTTTTTTGGGGACAAATATGCATATCTAAACTCTATAAGAAGAAGTTGAGCTTGAATGTTTTATGTTGGTACTAATACTGACAAATAGTGTTTTCGTATGTGCATATATTTGATAAATACAATAAAATTTACATGACGTATGGATGTAGATTCGAATATTAATTATTTGACATAAAAAAATCATTTGATGAAGAAAAAAGTCATTTGAACAACAACAAAATATGGTGATATGTTTAATTCTAAGAAGTTATTTATTGGTTGAACAAAAAAAAAGGAGTTATTTATTCAAAGAGCAATTCCTTTAGGAAGCATGACCAAACTATTCCTAAGCCATTTTCAAAATGGTTAACTAAAAGTATATTTTATGTGTAAGTTTTTAAAAAATTATAATGGTTAATAATGGTTAATTTTTCTCATTTTTTTACTAACTATAACTTACTCGAACGTTTAAGTTGCATATGTTAAAAGACAGCTTTGGTCAAAGTGAGGTTATTAATCCCCACTAGATTCTAATATACTGGATTTTTTTGTTGACGTTACACTAAAAGATTAAACAACATAAAACTTAAATATGAACAACGGTTTGTCCGGGTAGCGAAGAGATTATGGATCAAATATCCGGAACTTCCACGAAATTATGGATCAAATATTCGGAACTTCTATGATTTATCCAAAAAAAAAACATAAAACCTAAATACGAACAAATGGATATGACATGTAATATAGTCGTCTGTACTAGTATCGTTATTACTGTTACCATTTACTGTTAGTTTTTTGTTTTTTATGATAACCCCTAATTTATGCATATTTAAAAAAAAAATAATTGAACTTATTCAAATGTTTTAATTGCATATGTTAAAAAGACAGCTCTACTGAAACTGAAACTGAAACTGTGGTTTACTAATCCCCACCAGATTTCTAATATATATACTGGATTTTTTGTTATCATAAAAATATAAGTACAAACAAGTGAATTTTTTTTTTTGTCGGCAGTACAAACAAGTGAATATGCCATGTAATATAGTGGTTTATACTAGTATCATTATTTTTACTATCTACTTTCGAACCGATATAATACATGATGTTGGTAACATAAAAAAAGGTCCAAACAAGTTGCAAAATTATCCCTGTTATCAATTTGCAAATTCTAGCTCTATAGCTTCTGCTTTCGAAACAATTGGTTACCTAAAAAGGAAAGATGATGCCTTGCTATATGGAATATGTTCTCAAGAACATCCATGAGATATTTTAACTTTTTGAATTAGTTTTATGTTCTATTATATGAAAGGTAGAATACATCATCATTATTCTATGAATACGACGCATTAATGGACATAACTTAATAAGTAATTCGGTCAAAATCGGATCGATTGTTAAATATATATATATAACGAGTATGTAGAACTAATTACATAACACTCTATATATTGAAGATTAATATGCGTGTTGTTTCATGACACATTTGATCAAATCAAACTATTATCTAGCTAGTATTTCATCAATGAATAGAAAAACTATTTATACTAATTATCTTTTCCCCAAAACGTATCGTACTTAACTACTTTAATTATTATGAAGAAACTACTTTCAAGTATTTTTTTTTCTTTTGTTCATTGTTAATTTGTGTCCGGGATAAGCCGGATAAGCTACCAACCAAATCCCTATGATCAACTTGGATATATACTTATTCTCCATTTGATTTTCAAATAATTGTTATAAAATTGATTTTGAAATGCCTTTTCAAAAAGTAGATGTATACATCTACATATTGAATGTTCTTCTTTTCAGAAGAAAACACAATTATAATTAAGAGAATGAGGTGGAATATCAAGTTGCTTACCAATTAGCATATCATATGAATATTAATTGTTCACGTACCTGCCTTCTTTTTTTTTTTGTATAAATTTGTTATTATTGTCCCATACGAGATATAAAGAAATTACATTTACGGTAGTAAAATTGCACTTGATGTTGTCCTCTCCACAAGTCAACGATGAAAATTGAAATGGCAATTAGCAAAAGAAATGAGAAATGGTTAACAACCAGCCGCCCGCCAAAATAAAACTACAAATACAATGCATGAGGACGTTGACCAGTGTCCATTCATGCTATTATGTGATGCGTTGAACTTTTATAATAAGCACGTGGTAAGAAAATAGTTGTAGTGTAAACATCTTGTGGATGCGGGTTGAGAGGATGATCGGATGGGAAACTCCTGCTTCT